GCAGGATCCACAAGAACATGCTGCTGGACCTGACCAAGGAGCTGATGAAGGAGTTGGGCATCACCGTGGTGGGCGACGTCATCGCCATCCTGCGCCACGCCAAGGTGGTCCACAGGCAGGTGAGGGATCAGTGGGATCCGCTGGGAACCCCAAATTCCTGAAAAAAAACCCAAAAAATACCCAAAAAAACCCCTTTGTGTGGATCACTGCAGGAAATGTGCCAGGTGGCCTCAGAGTCATCTCAACTGAGCGGGGTTTGGGGGGCTCCGTGTGGGATCAGTGGGATTGGGATCAGTGGGATCACCAGGATCTGCTAGAAACCCCAAATCCCCTGAAAACAACCCAAAAAACCCCCATTTGTGTGGATCCCTGCAGGAAATGTGCCGGGCGGCCTCAGAGTCATCTCAACTGAGCGGGGTTTGGGGGGGTCCGTGTGGGATTGGGATCAGTGGGATCAATGGGATCACCAGGATCTGCTAGAAACCCCAAATCCCCTGAAAACAACCCAAAAAAAAACCCTTTTATAGATCTTCACAGGAAATGTGCCGGGGGGCCTCGGAGTCGCTGCAGCCGGAGGCTCCAACTGAGCGGGGTCTGGAGGGCTCTGTGTGGGATCACTGGGATCAGTGGGATCAGTGGGATCACCAGGATCTGCTGGGAGCCCCAAATCCCCTAAAAATACCCCAAAAAAACCTGAAAAAAACCCCTTTATATGGATCCCCACAGGAAATGTGCCGGGCGGCCTCGGAGTCGCTGCAGCCGGAGGCTCCAACTGAGCGGGGTCTGGGGGCTCCGTGTGGGATCAGTGGGGTCAATGGGATCTTCTAGAAACCCCAAATCCCCCCATAAAAAAAACCAAAAAACCCCCCTTTGCATGGATCTCCCACAGGAAATGTGCCGGGCGGCCTCAGAGTCACTGCAGCCGGAGGCTCCGACTGAGCGGGGTCTGGGGGCTCTGGGTGGGATCACTGGGATCACCAGGATCTGCTAGAAACCCCAAATCCCCCAAAAACAACCCAAAAAACCCCCTTTGCATGGATCTCCCACAGGAAATGTGCCGGGTGGCCTCGGAGTCGCTGCAGCCGGAGGCTCCGGCAGTGCGGGGTCTGGGGGGCTCTGTGTGGGATTGGGATGATCGGGATCAGTGGGATCTGCTAGAAATGCCCCCAAATACCGCGAAAACAACCCAAAAATCCCCCTTTGTGTGGATCCCTGCAGGAAATGTGCCGGGCGGCCTCGGAGTCGCTGCAGCCGGAGGCTCCGACAGAGCGGGGTCTGGGGGGCTCCGTGCGGGACCGGGATCACCGGGACCGGGATGATCGGGAACAGGATCTCCGGGATCCCCGGGCTCTCCAGGCTCTCCGGGATCCCCGGGATCCCCGGGAGCGGCCGTGCGGAGCCGCTGAACGGATGATCAGCAACAGCCTGAGGCGGGAGCCGCCCCCGCGCAGCCCCCGCGGGATCTCGGTCACCGTCCCCAACGGCACCGGTGCCATCGGTACGGGGCACCCCCGAGGGGAGGGGGCTCAAAGGGATCTGTCCTGAAATGGGATCTATCTGAAAAAGGGATCTGTCTGGAAAGGGATCCATCTGAAACGGGATTGACCCCAAAACGGGATCCATCCTGAAACAGGATCTGCCCTAAGAGAGATCCATCTGAAATGGGATTGACCCCAAAACGGGATTGACCCCAAAACAGGATCCATCCTGAAAAGGGATCCATCTGAAATGGGATTGACCCCAAAACGGGATCCGTCTGAAATGGGATTGACCCCAAAACAGGATCTGTCCTGAAATGGGATTGACCCCAAAATGGGATCCATCTGAAATGGGATTGACCCCAAAATGGGATCCAGCCCGAAATAGGATCTGCCCTGAAAGGGATTTGCCCTGAGAGGGATTCATCTGGAAAGTGATTAATCCCAAAAGGAGATCCATCCCGTTTTTCTCTCTCCTGACCCCGTGTTTCCCCCTCTTTATCCCATTTTCCCCTCTCCTGACCCCATTTTCCCCTCTCCTGACCCCATTTCCCCTCCCTTTACCCCATTTCCCCCTCTCCTGACCCCATTTCCCCTCCCTTTTCCCCATTTTCCCCTCCCTTTACCCCATTTCCCCCTCCCTTTACCCCATTTCCCCTCTCCTGACCCCATTTTCCCCTCACTTTACCCCATTTCCCC